GTTAAAAAATGTAGTCGGATGGGATTTATTTCTCATAGTTATACTAATCTTTTTTTTTTTTGGTCTCTCTCTCCCCCCTAGTATACTCTTTACATTTGCTTCTCTTTTTGGTGAGTGATCTTAGAGGATCCGAGCTGCTTCATTACTCTTTTGGCTGACCCCGCTTTCCTTGAAGCAAACGGTTCTTAAAATGCATGAAACATTTTGCTAAAAAAGGTGCTTAAAACATAATTGAAGAATCCCTAAGCTTTACACACACACACACACACACACACACGGATGATGGGATGATCTGCAAATTTTGTGACAATTGTTATCAATGAAGTAGTGATAGACATGCTCATGACATGAGCTAATGGACAAGGTTTAAATATCTTATATGGTGTTTGAATGCACTTGGTGCAATAAATCGAAATTCAGACATAGTAATCTCAATTTGACAAGTCCGGCCAATATGTCCATAATCATTTATCGTAACAAAGTTTCCAGTTGTAGTTCGTTTTTCTGGCTTAATTTATCTTCTCCAGCTACTTGCACTAAATAACCAACCAACCTAGAGGGACACACACCCATACTCTCTCTCTCTCTCTCTCTCTCTCTCTCTCTTGTGACACACACACACACGGAGGAATTGGAAGTTGACTTACATGAGTGGTGGTAAATCTTACTTGAAGGAGCTCAAAAGAGTCCCCACGGTGTTAGAAGCAAGGGCTAGGGCCACACAGAGACAAGATGGTGAAGTTGGAACAACCCAAATAGACATTATGGGTATGGGCGGGTGGGGTGATTTTCAACATCCTCCTCACATGGCCTGCCTTCATCACCATCCTCTCTGCCCTCCTCCTTTGATTCATCAGACCTTGAAAAAATAAAATGCCATCATTGTGCAGTAGTGACTCCAGCATATGCTCTGAAGCTTAAGATAGATGAAGACAGATTAACTGTCAAGAGAGGCTAACAAGTAATCAAGTACACCTCGCAATGATGCTAGGCACTTGTGTTCTTTTTTTTTGGAAGTTCGTAACTATAGATAATTTTCTCCCGAAATAATGATCTAGTATGGCCATTCTTATCGCGAGCACATACCACTAGGTGTAAGGAAAACTAGACCTGAAGTTGTTTGGTTGGACTGATGAGTCTGCTCCAGAGCTCAGTAAAGCGAAAATGTTGTTTACCATTGGCCAATTGAAATTCCAAAAAGAAGGCAAAAGGCGAAAATTAACAAACTAATGATGGAAAATATCGAGTGGCTCAAGTGGAGCAATGAGGTGGGCACAGAGGTGATCAGAAGAATCCCTTGGAATATCTTTTTGGATATGTCGACGGGACCGTCAAATGGACTACCAGATGTGACTTACTTTTCGCCGGGAAATGTTACATCAGAACGAGCGGTGGATGAACTCATGGATATGGAAAGCACAGGGGACCAGACGTTGAATGAGTTGTTGTCTGGAGTAAATAGAAAAGTCAGCAGCTCGTCTAAAACAAAATGGATTCCACCAAACAAATGGATATTGGTTTCATAAACGCCCAAGGGTCTGCCATGCACATGGGGTATGGATAGGTGGAAGTACAAAGAGATTGCATTAAGTTGGTATTTGGGGTGGCGGAAAGCCAGCAGCTTTTTTGTGATTCTGATGAAGCAATTCATTCTAAATCTATGAAGAATGATCATTTTTATCTCTATTTTTTCCACTTTTACAATAGAATGATCACTTTCATCAAGACTAGTTGGAATTGGCTAAGTTATTTTACCTAAAATGAAGAGAGAAAATAGAAATAGATAGATAATAGTGATGGCCTTAAATATCAAAGTATATAAGGCCCATTATCTATATCGATCTTTCTTCTGGTAAACTCATGGATTAGAAGAAAGCATATGATAATGACTGTTAAAATTATGCTGAACTAGGATAAAATGTGTTTATTAACTTGTATAAAGAGGTCAATAAATGTGCAAATCAATTGCTAGGTATGCACATCATTTTCTAGTTGAATTGTGCATTTTAATTTGATAAACCACCAGGGTTCTGTCATGAATTTTTTGAAGCTGACAGAATCGGAGGAAATGCACCGAAACAAGCGCAATGGCCTCTTATTAATCTGACTCTAAAAATAATTAAAATATAATTCGGATAATTTGTTCTCAGCACTTAATGCTTATGAAAACTGAGAATATGAAATTCATATTTAACATATGACAACTGAAACCGATCCTCAACATGAATAATAAATCGAGTGTGGAGATTTTTAAGTTTTCAAGCATTCTAAATTCATTCATTGTTAAAATATGTGCCCTTAGGATGTTATTAACCGTGCATTAACACATCAAGAGCCGTCTAAATTGGAAAGTATTACAAGACAATAAGGGGATTAACACCCGACTTCCCTTCATTAAGTTTTAGCATTTTAAAGTTTGAACCATTCATCCATTTTTCTATTGAAGTTTACACAGACTAGAGAATTTCCAACTTCTAGTTAATATTTTATGGTTCACCCATGCCTATATTTGATTTCTTCCCCAAAAGGGATTTGGCCTGAGACTCCAAGTTTCAACGATCAAGATATTGGGAAGATTCCTTCAAGATGGAAAGGATTTTGCATGGAGGGTCATGATTTCAACTTTCAAGAAATCCAACTGCAACAGGTGATCATAACCCTTTTTCTTCTTTTGAATCATATCTACATGAAATATCGCAATTACTGAATAATTTATCAGCGATAAAAAATGTTGATTCAATTCCTCATGGTCTGTGTGGTTATCATTAGTTCATTTCGATCCCTTTCATGTGAGCTTCAAAAAATAATGAGTTGATTAAAAAGAAGAGTTAAAACACCCAGCGAATTTCAATGTTAAAAATCTGTTGTGTTCGACATTCAACCAATTGCAATATTATAACGTTAATATTGACATTAAGCTGTTTCAAGTGTCACTTTCTTAGCAATGACTATGAAATTGCCCAGATTATGTTAAACACACTTCTACTAATGAAAGTTTTCATTGTTTTGGAATATTCACACTTTTGCTAAAATTTAGATCAAATCTCTGAAATTCCTAATTGAGTCTATCATCCATAATAATTCTCACAGAATCACAGTATAATTGCAGGAAACTGATAGGAGCAAGACATTATGATCCTCAAATGACATTAGGTGGTAATAAAACTCACCACCCAAAAGGCAGAGGGTCCCCAAGAGACTCTGTTGGCCATGGCATTCACACTGCATCACCAACAGCAGGTAGCAGAGTTCAAAATGCCAATTATTATGGCTTAGCGAAGGGAACTGCAAGAGGAGGCTCACCTTCTTCTAGGATTGCTGCCTACAAGGCATGCTCAGAAGATGGCTGCCCTGGTTCCACCATTCTGAAGGCTATCGATGATGCAATAAAAGACAGTGGACATAATCTCTATCTCCATTGGACTCAACTCACTCTTTCAATCAGACTTTTTGAATGATCCCATAGCCATTGGAGCATTTCATGCTGAAGAAATGCGAATCATGGTGGTGTGCTCTGCAGGGAATGACGGCCCTGATTCTTACACTATCGTCAATACAGCTCCATGGTATTCACTGTCACAGCTTCTAATATTGACAGGACCTTCCAGTCAGCTATTGTCCTTGGGAATAGGAAAACTTTCCAAGTATGTCCCCTGCTTCCGAAAAATTATTTTTAAGTACACAAAGCCAATGCCAAACGGACATAATGATATACCAAAAGAAGATTTCACCAAACGTCCATCTTTCATTGACCTAATACAAAATGAATCGATTTCTCGACTGTTCCAAAAACCCGGGGGGGGGGGGGGGGGACTGTACAAGTAGAAGAGTTAGGAGACTTTGAGGTGCTGGAAATCTAATATATTGTGTGACCTTTGTTTTCTATGTTGGGGTTCAGGCATCCACTTTTCAAACCTCACTCGTTCAAAGATGCATCCTCTTTTCTTCGGAAAGGACGTTGCTGCCAAATTTACCCCCGAATCAGAAGCAAGGTAACTTAGAAGTGTCATCCATATGATCTGATAGTTTCACGAAAAAATATCAGATCATGCCTCACATTTTTCATGGCTACGTTTGTTTAATCAAAGTACACTCAATTTATTAAACATAAATACACCAAATTAATTATAAATAGGCAACGCACAAACATTTTTCATAAGGGGTTTGATCTCCTTATCATTTGTTAAACAGTGTTAATTTAGAATTTCTCTCCATTTAAAGCTAACACCCCTACTTAGTTTCATATTGCTAGCAGTATTCTAGCAGGCACTAGCATTAGGACCAGCAACACACGTGTGATTGTAAAGTTTATAAATAAAGCACTAAGTTGTTTATACAGTATATCTCACAGTTACAAGCAATCTTCCTAACATAATTTGGTTTTCTATTTTCACTGAAATGCAGGAATTGTTATCCTGGATCACTAGATTACACGAAAGTTGCTGATAGTATTGTTGTTTGCATTGCTGATGATCCAAGTGTTTCAAGGCGAATCAAGAAGCTAGTTTTACAAGATGCAAGAGCCATGGCGTTGATACTCGTTCAAGAGGGCAAGAAAGATGTTCCTTATGATGCAGGTGTTTTTCCCTTCACAGAAGTTGTAATCTTGAAGGGTCTCAGATCCTTGAGTACATAAACTCTACAAAGTAAGCATAACCAACTTCAGCATGCTTGTTACTTCTCATGCTCTAGGATGTTCCATCTTTGTGGTCATACTGGTTCTTGTGCATTTTTTAGAACATAAATAACTTGCTTTCATTTTTCTTTCATTTAAATTCAGGGCCTACTAATGAAAAATGAAAACTTCGCCGTTATCTCAATATTCTTAGCAGTTATCACCTAGCAGTCACAATATATACATATATTCACCTCGCTTTGCATCTAGAGTTTTAGATAGCTGAGTTTCGTAGCCTAAGTACGATGAATTTGACCAAAAGATAAAAAAAAAGGTCCAAGTATGAGGAAGAAGGTGCAGACATCAATCATAAAGGTCAAACAGCTAATGAAGAATCATAACATGCTTGCTAAATGATGGTTGTCTAAACAGTTGTGTAAAGGGGTAAAATAATTAATATAGATTGCACAAGGTATGCTAACAGGAAATAACTATAGTTAAGAAAAACACTATTTATGCCTCGATGGCAGGAATCCAACTGCAACAATTCTTCCAACAACAGAAGCTCCTAGATATAGATCTTCACCAGTTGTTGCATCTTTCTCATCTAGAGGTCCTTCAAGCCTAACAGAGAATATTCTCAAGGTATTTTTCCACTGCGTCCCTATATGCAAACTAACTTGTGAATAGATATACAATTACATAAGAACATGAAATTTACAAGGCATCTTCCTAACTAACTATGAAAACTCCATTGTTCAGCCTGACATTATGGCTCCAGGAATTGCCATTCTAGCTGCAGTGGTTCCCCAAAATTCTGAACCAGGAAGCGTTCCGGCCGGGAAGAAACCATCCCAATATAGTGTAAAATCCGGCACATCCATGGCTTGCCCACATGTGACAGGTGCTGCAGCACTGATAAGATCAGTTCGTAAAAGCTGGAGCCCATCAATGATAAAATCAGCAATGATGACGACAGGTTCCACAAGTCATTCTGTATCTTTGTTAGTTAAATCATAATTTGGTAACCAACTTACAGATGGATTATCAATTTCATCTCTCATAAATTTTTTTTTTTTCCAATTTAGTTCCTCAATAATTAAAATGCTTTCAACATTTTTTGTTCTAATCTGTCTCCATCTTCAAAACTTAACACAAAGCCATGAATGTCCAAGCCACAAATCAGGATGTTGGGCATTAATTTTGGGGTGAAAATAGGGCGGAAACATACTTTTAAATCTGCTGAATGGTTAGATGACTATATTGATTGTGAAGGGTGAACTTGAAAGTACACCTGTTATTGAAGCACCTATTTAGATGTTTCTCTCCAATTTTGATTAGTATGCTCTACAGAAAAGGAGAAGTTATACTCACCCTGTTTTGTAACTTTTGTTTCATTTCCAACTTTCAGCAACAACTTACAACAACATGAGGAAGCTTTTAACCAACAGCTCAAACTACATGGCCAACCCACATGAAATGGGAGTCGGGGAAGTTAACCCACTCAGAACTCTTGACCCTGGTTTAGTCTTTGAAACAAATCTGAGATCCTATGTCCAGTTCCTATGTTATTATGGTTATTCACAGAAAAACATAAGGTCTATGTCTAAGGCAAACTTGGGCTGCCCGCAAATGTCCAGTGAAGGTCTTGTCTCCAACATCAATTACCCCTCAGTCTCCATAAGAACTCTGAGTAGGCATCAGAAAGCAAAAGTAATAAGAAGAACCGTCACTGATGTGGGTCCCCCTAACGCCACATATATTGCAAAGGTGCATGCACCTGAGGGATTGGTTGTCAAGGTCGTCCCCAACAAACTTGTTTTTGCTCAAGGTGTAAAGATGATGTCATATAAAGTCTCATTCAATGGGAAGGCAGCTTAAGGTGGCTACCATTTTGGCTCCTTAACATGGCTTGATGGTCAACATCATGTCCACACAGTTTTTGCAGTCAATGTTAAATAATTTGAAAGCAAAGATCTTCTGCAGATTATAAGCATTAAAACTCACACACACACCCACACATCCACACTGATATAGATAAACAGAAGAGCAAAGATAATCATATATGAATGTGTTCATTATTTTCTACTTTAACTTACGAGTGGGAAGAGCCTTATATTGTTCACTAGTTTCTCAGACATTAGAATCAATATCCTAATTTCTTGGGCAGACACAACTGTAACCGCTGTTTTATGTTGTGTTGTTAGTTGGAAAGTGACTTTGCAATACGCTACCGAGCTTTCTACTAGAAAAGAATACGAAAACAATGGAAACGGCTAATGAAGTTGCTAGCAATCTGGATTAAAGGCTTACATAACAACTGTTTAATGCTATGGCTAAAGCACAATAAAGTTACTAAAAATCTAATGTATCACCATGGTACAAAACATATTCATGTTACTTTTCATTTCATTCACGAAAGTATATTTCAAGGTACCACTATGGTTTAGAAGTGTTGGTAACTCAGTCCAATGGGCCTTGGGCCTAAAAAAACCCTAGGCCTCAAAATCGGATTTGATCAGATCTTATATTTCTGTTTATTAGGAAGATTGCGATTATCATTATTTTGATTGTATCTTGCATATTATATCTGTCCCTATTATCTCTCGGCCAAATCCTTAGAATATCGGGCCTAATAATCTCACTGAGAGACTTGTGTCTATTTAAGTGTTCCTCATCATTCGAGTAAAGGTAGTCTGTTAAGTATCATAAGATTCCTCATGGTATCAAAGCAGAGATGACCAGATTCGGTATGGGATTCAGCAATGAGGGGCCAACCAAACCTAGGGTCTCGAGAGCTAACCCATCAGGTCTAAACACAACAGTGACTGGTTCCACCAGTCATCAAAATTCAATTGAGTCCAACCCAGCCTCCATCACCATTCATCACCTCAATGGAGAGAACTACATGCAATGGTCCTCTAACGCATGTCTATACAACATGGGCAAAGGAAAATATGGATATCTGATCCGAGGGATTTAGAAACCAGCTCAAGACGATGAAAAATACCTACATGGGAAGCTGAAAACTCCATGGTGCAGGCTTGGTTGATCAATTCTACGACAACCGAGATTAGTGCACACACCACATTCTTCCAGACCGCTAAAGGAGTATGGGATATAGCAAGAGATATGTTTGTTGGACTCAAGAACAAAGCTGTCATCCTAGAAATTGAAAGATTCCTTCATGATTTCAAGAAAGGTAATCTCTCCATGACCCAACACTATACTGCCTTGGTGGTTCAATGGCAACAATTGGATATGTACGAGACCTATGACTGGAAGTGTACTGGCAATGCTGCTCTCTATACAAAAATAAAGGAAGAAAAAAGGGTCTTCAAGTTCTTACTTGAACCGGATGCCTCCTTTAAAGAAGTATGAGGCAGAATAATGGGCCTCTCGACAACCTACCACCTCTAAGGGAAGTATTTTTTACCTTGAGAAATGAAGAAAGCAGAAAAAAACTTACTGCCCCTAAGTCAAAGATTGAATCCAGTCAACCAAATGCATTTGCATCAAAAGAGGCAGTCCAAGATGACTCAGAGACAAAATAAGTGGTGTGACCGCTGCAGAGAAAAGGGGCATACTAGGGAGACTTGCTGGAAATTACACAGCAAGCCTTTGAAAAAAGGGAAACAAGATGGCGAGGGTATTCCAACACTATTGAGCACAATAACAAGCCAGAGTTCAGTAAGGAAGAATTAGATTTGCTTCCTTGATTCTTAGAGAAACATAACTCACAATAAACAACTATTGCAGCTGGATATATTGCCCCTACAGGTAAAACCATATTAGTACTAAAAACTGATATACATCACTCGAGACTATAGATTGTGGATTCAGCAGCAACCGACCATATGACAGGAAACAAAGAACTTTCAACTGACATAAGACCATGCCCTGTGAATATCTGAGTAAAAGTAGCTGACGGTAAAGCCTTGCAAGCTGAAGGCCTCGGCAAAGCTTTTATAACTCCTGAAATAGTATTGCACAACAGCTTCTATACACCTGGCTTAAAATGCAGTTTATTGTTTGTTATAACTATGACCTAGAATCAAAATTGTGATATTCACTTCTCTTTGGTTAAGGGGATGTTTGAACGGAAACCAAATCATGGTTTTAGAAGTGCTTTTACAGTATACGAAGTAAATATGTGGAAGAGTATGTCTCGTTTTGCGGAAAGTGCTTTTGCACTTTTCTAGCTCCTAAACACCCTCTAAATGTGTTTTTCAAGACATACTGAGGGAAGACGATTGGCACAGCTGAGATCCTTGAAGACCTCTACTGTTTGGAAGTTCAAGAGCATCATCAATCCAAGGCAAATCCTATGAAGTTACCTTCTATTTTTTCTGCTACTTTAAAGAATAAAGATCCATTACTACAGCACTATAGGCTAGGGCATCCTAATTTCCATTACATGTCAAAACTGTTTCCACATCTTTTGAATAAAAATGATCTCCCTTTCACTTGCGAAGTATGTCAGTTTTCAAAGCAAACTAAAGCTACCTATAAACCGCACTCACATCAATACTCAAAACCATTTAATCTAATTTATAGTGACATTTGGGGACCATCTCGGATTCCTTCCCTCACTCATGCTAAATGGTTTGTTAGTTTCATTGATGATCATACATGCCTAACCTGGGTATTTCTCATAAAAGACGAATCCAACCTACCTGAAATTTTCATAAAATTCCACAAAAATGATCTCAACCCGGTTTCAAACCCAAATCCTCACCCTCCGCTGACAATGGCCGTGAATAAATGAGCCATACATTTCAACAATACCTTGAAGACAATGGGATAGTCCACCAAACTAGTTGTGTTGACACAACTCAACAAAATGGGACTGCTGAGTGAAAGAATAGACACATGCTAGCAGTTACCCAATCATTCATGTTCACCCATAATGTTCCTAAACAATATTGGGGAGAAGCTGTTCTTACTGCTTTACACTTGATAAATAGACTACCTTCCAAAACTCTAAACTTTCAAACCCCAATCAGTCTCCTCACCAGATCCTACCCTGCAAATTCACTAACCTATGATCTTGCCTTTAGAGTTTTTGGGTGTACTGTGTACATTTACCATAAGCAAGAGGGCAAACTTGATCCTAGAGCTCTTAAATGCATCTTTCTCGACTACTCATCCACCCAAAAAGGGTACAAATGCTACTCACTAGTTCTGTGAAAATTTTTTGTTATAATAGGTGTTAAGTTTGGTAAAAACAAAGCCTACTATCCTAGTTCTCCCATTCAAGGGGAGAGTATCAGAAGAGAATGGGAGTCCCTATCTTTTGACAACGCATCTACGTTGAATATAACCCCAACCCAAATTTCCACACTTGCCATACCTGACTTCACTTAAACTTCCTTTGTTGCAACACCCAAAACAGACCTTGGCATTCCAGTAACAACACCTGACATCCCAGAAACCGTACTAGACAATATTCCCTCTCCTCCTGACTGATCCAGTCCCAATGCTCCTAATTTTCATATAGTGCCTAAAGATACATTGCAGGGAATAGAGATAGACGAATCTGATGGAGACACTATTTAGCCCGAGGAAGAACATAGTTCAAATAGTGGGGGGTCCTCCTAGTTCTAGGCCAAGTCAAGAGTCAACCCAAACTTCAGAACTTGATGATCTTGGGTGGCCAATTACTCTAAGAAAGGAGGTAAGATAGTGCACTTTACACCCAATTAACCACTTTGTTTCCTATGACAAGATATCTCCGTGCATAAAAAGTTTTGTATCTAAGGTTGACAAGAATAAAATACCTTCGAGCTTTGATGAAACTGTCAAGGATCCTAGATGGAAGGCAGCTATTAGTGAAGAACTACAAGCTCTCAACAAAAATCAAACCTGGGAAGTAATAAGTCTTCCCCCAGGGAAAGAAAGCTACGGGATGCAAATAGGTCTTCGCAATCAAATACAATCCTTATGGATCTGTAAGTAAGTTCAAAGCATAATTGGTAGCAAAAGGTTTCTCTCAAACTGAGGGAATTGATTACCAAGAAACATTTGCACCAGTAGTAAAGTTGAATATCATAAGGATTCTGCTATCCTTAGCTGCTAATCTTGATTAGCCACTCCATCAATTAGACATCAAAAACACCTTCCTAAATGGAGATCTCGAAGAAGAAGTGTATATGAGAATACCAGAAGGACTCACTGAGCACGAAAATACAAAAAAGACATGCAGGTTGTATAAATCTCTTTATGGCCTTAAACAATCCCCAAGGGCACAGCTCAAAAAGTTCACAAGAGTAGTGAAGGAATCTGGGTACATGTAGTGTCAATCAGATCACACACTGTTTGTTAAACATTCACAAGGAAAGGTATCAATTTTAATCGTATATGTTCATAACATTGTCATAACAGGGAATGATGCTAAGGAAATAGCAAGAGTGAAAAAGATCTTAGCCACTGCATTTGAAGTGAAAGACCTAGGGAGCCAAAAGAAAATGATTAAAAATCGCTTAAGATGATTTGGACATATACAAAGAAGGCCATTGGAGGCCCCAGTGAGGAGGGTAGATCAGACAATATAGAGTCCTATGAAAAGGGACAGAAGAAAACCAAGAAACACGCTTAATGAAGTCATTGAACGAGAGCTCCTGACCAACAATATATTTAAGGATTGAGTTGTTGATAGAGCAAGATGACATCGTGTGATGACATCGTGTGATTCATTTAGCCGACACCACCTAGTGGGATAAGACTTGTTATTGTTGTATTCAAAATTCCACTTTTGCCAGTTAACTGCGGCTGGAACCACCTTATTGCCCAAGTTATTATACTTCACCATCAATCAGTAATTGTTTCCACCAATTCTACCAAAAACAATTCTTTTTCCTTCATAATCAGATAAAGATAAAATACACACAATATAGTTTGTAAAATAAACTTATAACAACCATACAAACTAACTGCTACCACCGTTCCGGTGCAAAGCAGAAGAAGCAAACTGAGGATTTGGCTCAATGGGTATATAAATTTTCAACATCATTATTGTTGCTCCTTTTACTTTAGCTAACTGTTCCAGACTCTCAAAACCAAGGGCCTCTTCTAGATTCATCTTTCAAGGATTTTTCAAATCTTCTTAAGCATAATAATTTCAAACATTATTTCAATTACAAGCTAAATCATCAGTTCATTTCTGTCACAGATAAAAAAATAACACCATACCTTGAATTGCTCAATTCGTTTCTGCCCAAAAGATCAATCATCTTCATCACCACTCTCATCACTGAAATAGCTTGCTTTCTTCGCCTTCTTCTTCTCCACAACCTTCTCGTTACCCGTCAGCAACCTTTCATCCGCCCCATTATCCACAATAGAAGCCCAATTATCATCCTCAAACCGATCCCCACCATCGGATCCGTCATCATCCTCCTCGGCCCGCTGGTACCCGCCCCCGCCGCCACCGCCACCGCCATGTCGTTCGCGCTTGGGAACCGGACGCTGCCTGGGCCCTAACTGATTCCTGGGACACTCATAAGACAAATGTCCTCCTTCCCCACACTCGTAACACCGACTCTTATCCTTATAAACCCTTTTCTTTATAAATTCCGGAGCCCGGCCATTATCCGCGGCGATGGAAGCAGTCAAGGTCCTGCCGTTGAGAACTTTGCGGTTCATCTCACGAGCAGCTTTTTGTGCATCGTCACGAGAAACGTATTGAATGAAAGCGACGCCACGGCTCTGGCGAGTGACTCGGTCCTTGAGCACGGTGACTCGGGCGATCTTTCCGAAGGTGGAAAAAAGGGTGTTGAGGTCGGAGTTAGTGAGGGAGAAGTCAAGGTTGGAGACGTAGATAGTGGATTTAGAGGGAGCTAACCCACCAGAGCCACCGTGAGTCTTGAGGGTTCTGGTGGTGTTTGAGGAAGGTGCTGAAGAAGCAGAAGAGGAAGCATAGCGGTAATAGAAGATGTCTTCTTCGTCGCTGTCGTGGTCCCCGTGCTTCTTCTTTGGCATCGTCTTCCCCTATTCCCCTTAATCAGAGCTCAAGGTACTTCCCCCGGTTCTTGTCGCCCAGGGCTTGTTGTGAATGTTGCTCCTGTCAACCCTGGCGTTAGGGACACTTTATAGCAGGGGCAAATGATTAAAAGAGATGAATGGATTTGAAAATTTTGGGGAAAGAAACCTTCTAGGAGTAATTCCAATTGAAAACCAGTGTAGCCAATTTATTTCAAAACGTCCCTATAAGCTGAAGGAGGGAGTGATGTTTTCATGGAGGAAGAGTAATCCATCAAATTCTTTTTTCTAAGTTTCAGATGTAATAAACTTCAGAAACAAGTGGTGAAGTTTTATATGGTTTGACCAGAAGTGCTTTATAAATATAGGATAAAAAAGAAACTAAATGAATAGCAAATTAAAATAAAGATAAATTGCATTATCATTCTTTTTCAAATTTGCAAATGTCACATCATGCAAAAATTAACTCTGGCGATGGATATAAAAAATTAAGTCAAGAGCTGATATGAAAGGTAGACTGGTTGACAAAGCTAGGCATGACATAAAATCCAGATGGGATTCGAATTGATATTCGTGGAATTATTGTCCAGAAAGGACAAAATGGAAAAATTAGAGAAAAATTTCAGAAAATTTCTGAAAAATAGTAAAAAGATAAATTAGAGGTTTTGAAATGTCAATTAAGGCCTCGAAGGTGAAAATAGTATAAAAATAGCTTATTACAGAATTTCCTGAAAACAAAGGTTTTTTAGAAAAATAGTGAAATTGAATAAAAATAATTATTATAATTATTTAGAGGCCTCAATAATTCCGAAAAAATATAAAATAATTGTCTAAATATTTGATTGAATTTATAAAATTGATTTTAGGCCTTGAAAGTACAGGAATTAATTTTAGAAAATTTATTCCCAAAAATCTTACCAATAAAATCCTATTCTAGGGAAATTTAAAATAAATAAATAGAGGTAGAGAAAAATTTTAGAAATTTTTAGAATGCATTCTTATATTAAAATAGAATTTGTCATGGATAGAACTATGATTTTGGAATCTTAGAATAATTATGGAAAGTTACAAGTAAATAGTAACTGATAAACTTCAATATTACTTGAAATTAATATTTTATTGTTGGGCTATCTTCTTGAAACTTTTTAGACCTGAATTGGGCCCCATATTGGGCCAAGAAAGCCCAAAAATTTGTGCAAAACCTAGCCCAAATAATTAAATGGAATTAAGCCTAATTTTCACATAAAAATCAATAAAATATTCTTAGAATTTTACACATGGCATGATCTGAAATTATGGAACATTTGATGGCAGCCAAGTGGCCTTTTAGGTGGGCCAGATTTTGTACTCTATAAATACCCCCTAATTACACTAAAATAGCCAAAAAGCGGGTAGGTGCTACCAAACTGATTTTTTTTAACCTGAAAGTGAGTCTTAATTAGTGTATTTGAAGGAGAAAATACCAAGCTTTGATCAAGGATTCATCAAGGTAAGTTTGAGCTTTACTTTGGTTAACATTCAAGCTTGTTTTGGTTGGAAACTTGAACTAAAATCCCAGGTTAAATTGCTGCCATGATTCGATCAAATGAAGCATGACTTAAGGAAGGATAGAAGCCTTGAAATTGAGTTATAATTATCATACTTAAGTGATGTTTGGATGGATTTTTGGAAGAAAACGAAGTTAGGGATTTTATGTATTCAATTTGGCAACATGTGTTCTTAGGTTAGGAGTTTGTTTTGGTATGATTTGATGATTCCAATGAGTTTAAAAGATGTTTTTGTGTAGGGGAATACCAAGAAAAAATGTTTAAAATCATTAGAATCAAAAATAAAAATTTTGAAAGTTATACAACCCTTATTTGGCCAACGTCAGTTGAAGGAGAAGGAGTGTGATTTTGTTAAATCTAAATTGATATTTGGATTTTACATTAAAAAATTGTATAGGAATGAGTCAAGATATTGATGGAAACAAAGAAAGAATAATCATGTCAAAAATCAAAGAAAAAGAGAATTTAAGTAGGTTTAAGGTTAAATGTTTGTATTCAAACTTGAATGGTTATTAATCTGGCTTGTAATTATATGTGAATGGATAGGTTTTGTGGAGAAAAACCAAGGAGAACACCTGATGAAGCCTTAGTCGTTATGGGCTCTCAAAAACAATTAGTTCTGGATAGGAATGTACTATAGAGGCACGATCCGAGTCGTGTTCACTTCGACGAGCCTGACTTGTTCCTATGCAATCTTAGTGACAAAACCGTACGGAAAGATAAAATTGGGGAGATTTTAAAACTGAATTAAATTCCAATGAAATCAAAAAGGAAGTAGAAAAGTCTTTTTGGTCTTTTTCTTTTAGTGAATTAAAACAACAGTGAAGAAAACAATCAAAAGGATAAGTTGTAAACTTAATTGATTATATGCCCCTTAGAGAATTGATTAAGCCTTCATCACTTCAAAATGTATTTGGAGTTTACTTTAAAACCAATCTTAGTTAGTTTAGAAAACATTCCAAACTTAGGTTAATTAGTATGTTAATGAAACCTTTGACCCAAATACTCACAACAAAACTAACCACCTTCATGAATGAACACTTGGTGAGATTGATGCAATGGTAACAACTTGAACACAATAACCAACTATGCTAGCGAGGTAGCACAATTAATCAAAACCAAACTTGGATTGAAACCAATCAAATTCACAAGACTAAATGCAGAATTCTCATTACAAAACGAATACCAAGGCATAAATTCTCAGAATCCAATCCAAAATAACAAGATAATAACATTGAAGTTCAGCTTTAATAACGACACAGAATTTCTAACCAAGAATAACTGAAATGTTGTTAAAGTAATGGAAGAGATGAAGTAAAACTCCCCAAATTAAGTCCCAAGCTCAGGCCCTCATCAAAGCTCCTCAGCGCAAAATGTTCTAGCCTCTTATGACCTCAAAAACAGCTCCTTCAAGCTCTGAAATCACAGCACCAGCCATAACGATAAAGGTAGATGATGGATGATACAGAAAATTGATGGAATGAGGTGGAAAGAGATGGAAATCGGTGGAACTCAATAGGAGAACCCAAAAACCCTTAAAGAACCCTAGGAGATGAAAATGGGAGTATCTGAACAGTGAATGGCGGCTGGCTCACGTGGTATATTTCCCAAAATCGCAATCTGAGGTTTAAAACCTAATTATGTGTCAGCATCTTTTTCGTCATGACCAAACATACATTTCATCATGACTAAATGGTCAAAATGAACAGCTGCATTTAGTTGGGTCTTTTCTAGAATTCCCGTAATCTATTGGGCCTTAACTGCAATTTCCTCGAACTTAGGTCTTTTGGAGATATTTTTCACTTGACCCTTGACTAGAAAATCAAATTAAGCACTTGTAATATCTAATTCAATTTCGTCAATGATGATTAATTGAAATGATGCACAATTTGACAGTTTTGCCCCTACAAAGTGCTTAATAAGAAATCAAAACCACATTTATAAATTATCGTAATTAATATCAAAACATGCATTTTAAATCGATTAATTCCTCTAAAACATGCAATTAGACATGAATTAATACAGTAATACTTGGTCAAATCAACTCTCCCACACTTAGACATTTGCGCTCCTGAGCGAAATGGAAAGAGAAATAGCAAGAGTTGTGAAAAGGCTAGAGTCGGGCATAAACGAGGACAAGTACTCCTCACAACCAATCAAGCATACATCAAAAACTGATAATAACTCAACTAACCCATGGGATGAAAGTGACAAATCAAATAGTAGTACTCTCTTACAAGCAAAAATAGTGAGAAAAACCATGCAAAGTGTTTAACCAAAACAACCAATCAAGCAAAGGGAATGAGCATCGGAGATCACTCAAAGGATAAAAGTGTATTGCTCAACTCACCTTAATTGGATCATTTTCTCTCAAATCCACTTGACAAAACAAACTACCATAAGCTTGTAATGGTTCTACTATCTCCACTAAGAATGCAATGATGCACTGGATCAAAAGGACTTTAAGGGGTGTAATGATGAATGAAGGCTAAATGGAATGAATAATAGAATGAAATAAAACAAGTACCAATATCCAAAATTGATTTCCCACTAGCTTTTCATTGAATTTCTTGAAGCACAAAACTTTAATCTTCAACCCACCAAGGAATTTGCCTTATTCAAAATTTTTATTCTAAGGATCCTTTTTTTTTTAACTAAACATTTTGGCAATTCCAAAACCCAAGAAGATAAAGTACAACATCACAGATGCAGTAGTGAAAAGTGTAGTTGGGACTTTGAATAAACAATACATGTGTTGGTACTTAAATTTGAAGAAGGCTCAAAGGGGTGAACAAGGGTTAATCGAAGTAGCTAGTGCTTGGGTAAATGGTTTAGAATGAATGCCTTTATCATATCCGAAACATCAATGCATATGAAGCTTTGACAAAGAACCAGAACAAGTTCTAGAGAATGTAAGATCAAGTGGAAAAATCACACTGGAAAGGAATTTAGCCACAAATAACTTCCAATAAGGCTAGATCTCTTATGTTCATCCACAATGCTCAATCGAATGCAAGATTAATCCCAATGCATGAATAAATCCACTAAAATTGCAAATCAAAGAATGAAAACCATTTGAAAGTTTCAACCACCCATGAATGAGTCAAGAACTGAAAGAGTTTCAATGCAACTTGAAAATCTTGCAAAATTTTTCTTGCAAAAGTAAGCAGTCAAAGTCCAAATATGGGTGAGTTTTAGTTAGACCTCTGCACAACATGCAAAATAGCTTTTATGGAAAATATTACATACTCGTTGTGACTAAAACAGTAATTCGCCATGACCACAATAATCACAGAGCCACAGAAATGAAACTTCATCACGGCTAACTTGGCACTGGTCGTGACGAATCAACAAACCAAGAGCAACACACACAAGAAACAGCACTTTGTTGCGACCAAGATAACTACTCGCCACGACTAAAATGAAGGCAGAGGCAAAATAGAAACAAATGAGCATAAACACTCCCTTCCCCCACACTTGAATGCTATAATGTCCTCATTGTAAAAGATAACACCATAAAAACTTGAGGCACCACGAGACACACGAGAATGAGCAAAACATAGCAGA